ACACCTTAGATGCAATGCCAGTCCATACACGACACTAGCTGCAGTTTTCACCACCATTCAAATCATGCATGATGCAGCGTGTTATGCTAACCAGCTAGTTGGCAACAACCTCCTGACTCTGACTGCTAGCTATTTATTTGGTTTTTTAAACAGGGGGCCTTGAAGTGACTTTTTGAGTGGGGAGCCAGAAACAACAAACCCAACCCTATCTATACACTACTGTCTCTACAACAAAAACCACAAGACTCACTTCGAAAAGTTAAAATGAGGAAACCTGATGAAATTCTTTATGTAGACAGTGAAGTTCACAGCACCCATTAGGGTGGCATCCCTGGAAAATGACAGATTTTCATTAGAAAAACATCAGTTCAAATCTTACTACCATAGCACTTATAACAGAATCATGCTATATATATATATATAGCATACAACAGAATTACTTCTTGACAGTGATTGAAGGCCAGTGACAAGATATCCAATCTCAACTACAGCATTTTAAAATTAATTAGTTTTAAATTATAATAGAAAAAGAGTAGATGACTTCACATTGATTTATGGTTGGCCTCGACTGGACACCAGCCATAAATCTCACAGGTGCCTGTTGAGTTCAGGCACCGGCCACTCATTATTCCTGCAACAGACACAAATACGTACAAACTCAAGATCATGTACATCCCAGTAAACAACACCCTGCTAGAATGTGACAGCAGCAGCAAACACAACCTCATAATCCCAACTTTAAGCCACAGGACCCTTAAGACAACCTCGAGGGTACTTGTGTTGTTTATTTAAAAGACAGGAATATTTATTTTTGTTTATCAGTATTTATTGCAGAGACTAAAGCTGTCGTGTAGTACGTATTTATGAACGCCACATGCAGTCCAGGCTGTGGCCCGCCTCATACCGTGACTCGCTCTCACCGCAGCCTCCTCTATACAGTCTCCATCATCCTCACACAAAGCATCTACAACCTTCGTGCTCTGCAAAACAGCATCAAACTGTTTATTAAGAGATGTTTGGTATGACGTCTGCATGTCTTACAGTTACTATATACATTATCAATATATTTGTAGTGGTTAAACCAGAGGTCTCAAAGTACAGTTTATCTTTTGGCTAAAAAAATAAATCAAGTGTCTTGAGTTGAAGACCTTCCAGCCAATGCCCCCCTGAGTTAAACAGTCCTAGCTCTGCCCTTAAATTCTTCACTATGGATCCAGGATGAACTCCATTAGCTGGTGGGTATGCCACTCTGATCTTAATATTGGCCTCATTAAAAAAATACCACATAAAAGCTGAATAATTACCTATCAAAGTAGACACATTGGGCCTCATTCACCAATATTTTCTTAAGAATTCTCTTAAGAAGAGAATCCTACGAAATTTAAGAACAACCTACGTCGGATTCATGACGTGTTCTTAAGTAGCAGAATTGTTTGCACCTTTGTTCTTAAGAATGATGAATCCCACGTCTTCATAACTGAAAGCGCGTGCCAGTTTGTCCTAATTAGCATAGGGAAAAGTCCTGCAATTTCCCATAAAAGGGCATGAGACTGTAGGGCCGTGTGCAAGGAATGGCGAAGAGACACACAGAGTAATGCTGAAGTAGAAGTATTAATACAGTAAAATCCCATTATAGTGGACTCGCTTATAATGGAATATCGTCTATAACGGAAGAGGTCCGCTGGTCCCGGCCGTGCACCTTTAAGAATATGCAGAAAAAGCATTGGATATAGCGGACTGGCATATAACAGAATTTCGCTTATAAAGTACAGACAATTTGGTCCCCAGGGCCGCTTTTAGCTGTAGTTTTGTTTGGCTATAACAGACATACAGGCTCCACCTACAAGGCACATGTGATGCCGGTGATATCCAGCGCAAATACGTAGTCGGAATTATTAATAGTCACGCATCTGGTCAGGTAAAGTTGGATTACTACATGCACAATATAATAATCTATACCACAAGTGTATCTGCTGGGGTGTGGCATGAGTAAATGGTGTCCTGTAGTTGTGTTTTGGGCATACAACAACTCTGGATATAACGGACTTTAGATATAACGGACTGTTTTGCCAGGTCCCTTGAAGTCCGTTAAAAGTGGATTTTACTGTACAGGAGGTAAATGCAAATAGACACATATTATCTAGTACCGTAACCAGTGGATATAAAGCCCCCAAGAAAGCTGATACATGGAAAGATATCACCTTCTCTGTGAACGCTGTGTGCCAAATAAATCTAAATGATCTTCAAACATACGTTCCCTTCTCAGAGCACAATTGGCAAGCTCTTCAAGAAGTAACAGAAATACCATTTTGATAGCAAGGCCAATGCGCAGAAACAGACCTATTTATAATCCGCATGATCGCCGTTACTACCATGAAAATAATTTTCACACATTAAAATGATTTTTTATATTTTACTTTTATAAATTATTCAAATACTATCATTTTATCAACTGTAGACTGAACAAAACTGCTATAACCGATTATTTTGAACAAACTATCATTACTGAAATGTGCGTACGAATGGTCTTGAGTTTGCGTAGATTCTGTTCTTAGCTAAGAACAAATTCAGATAAGAAAACATTGGTGAATGTCAGAATCTTCATAAAAAAGTGTGTACGTGGAGTTTAAGAACAAATTTGTTCGTAAGAACAGTTGGTGAATGAGGCCTATTATTATTATTATTATTATTATTATCATCATCATTATTAATAACAATTACAATAATAACCCAGAGTTAATACATTTCCTTAGCTGGTTAATGAGTTAATAAATGCTTTCCTGCACATCTTTAAAACCAAAAAGCAGTTGAACTTTACAAACTAAAAGTGAAGTACAATTTTCCATTTAATGGAAGTTAGCTGAGTGCCAGATGTACTTTCAGGAAATGCTACCCATTGTCACACAACAACACTGTGGCAGGAACGTTATTCATGTTATTTTAGATTGATAAATGAGCTGATTTTCTGGATGTTTCAGTCACATTGTCTGCCAAACCAGTGAAAAAGGGACGGTTACACACACAGGACATCTGCCTCCTTCTTCTCTATGTGACAAATGATACAATAACAGCTCCTGGTGTTACAAGGGCCACTCTCTACCTTTCAGTTTCATTCATACAGCGCTGATCCCTGGTCTTACCTCTGCACAGTACCCCAGCCTCTGATTGGGCGTCTCGATGAAATTTGTAACAATAAAGAAAACTCCTTCACCCTGTAACACAAAACTAAGTGTTTGTATATTGCATTCTGTTCACGTCTCTTAGACAATGAACGGTTGTCCCAATTCGGTCCTTGGGGACCCACAGTCAGTCCATGATTTTGCTCCCTCTGAGCTGGTACCCGAAGACTGGATTGGGAAACACTGCTCTAACTCATAAATGCCTTATGGAGCAAGCCACATCATCCTGGAAATTGCAGAAAGGCTTTTGCTAAAATTAATCCATGTAACTGTAACAGTGATTTTGAAGGGGTGGACAGACAAACAAAATATACAATTAGATATGTTCTTCTACAATCCTATAACATTTCTCATACATCAAGTTATAATACATTGCAATAAGGAAGGCTGAAGTAGCGAACTTGTTACAATTGATCTTCAGCTAATGATTGTATGTGCACCAAGCAATGGCAAATTAGGGGGAAAAGGGAGAATGGTCTGTTTATGCTGACAAAAATCAATTATGTAGATAAAGAGGTTATTTATCCATCATAATGAAGGTGGGAGTGACTCAATATTAATGTCATAACTCATGGTTCATGCAATGTTTTACTATGCCAGACCCAAATAAAATATCTCATTCTCAACATTCAGTTTTAATTATTTAAATGCAATGAAATGCATTTCATCGTAGATTTTTAGCATAGAATTCAATAACTGAGGCTAGATACAATTGGGCATGCAAAGTATAATGGAAAGGCTGCTTTTTCTAATGCAGGATGTGTTTTACCTGTACACCATCTATCGTGCACCCTATGATTCCTGACGCTAGGTTACTCACCTGTGGAGGAATGACGTAATCTTCAGGCCCCCATACACGGGATATATTCTGCGTTGTATTGATGAGATTTATCCCCTTGAGCTTGCTAATCACGCTGCTCTGGATGGACTCCTCTCTTTCCTGATAGCCTTTCTTTATCAGGAAAACCCAGCTAACAAAAAGTGCATATGAATTACTACTTTGCCTTAGACTTTACACTACGGGAAATAACAGCAAGATAGGCATTAGGATAGTACTTCTATAAAAAAAAAGGCCTATATATATATATATAGGGCATGACTGCACAGCCTCTCAGCAAGGCATCAATAATTTATGTTGCAGATCTATCCTAATGGAATGTCTGAACTGTTTTTTTTAAATAATGAAACAAACTTAGAAGTAGCCGAGAAAAGTAATAAAATTGGATAAATGAGATAAGATGAGAACAGTACCATCTCACTGAAACAAAATTCTACCAAAACAGTTCATACCATGCCAACAAAATTTTATATTTAATCTACATTATACCTGATTGTTTATACGTATTTCTCTTTATTTGCAATGTATTCACAGTATCTAAGATACAAAATAATTAAAACATTTAACGTGATCACATTTAGCCGTGATTTGTAAAACTCAGTCGGGATGAATTACAGATAGGCTAACTAAAGACTGTACCAAGAAAGCTGTCCATTCCAAGCAGTCTAAAAAGTCCTAAAACACGATAATAAGCAGCTTCATATACAAAAGTCTGCGAACACTGCGAGGCATGCAAAAAATAGTAATAGTCGAGCTTTATTGTCATCTTAACCATATAGGCCTTCATTAAAACATACAGTGAGACTAAATAACGTCCTCCAGGGATATGTCCAATGTACAACACGACAGGACAACAGCACACTCAGACAGATCGACAGTGAGGAGAATTGGGGGTGGGGTGATAAATAATACCTGTACGTATATCTCTAATTATAATACATCTACATGTACCTAATAAAAAAACTATCTAAAAAGACTTTTAGGAGGGCGAGCACATCAGGGAGCTGTGACGATACAATATACGCTATACAACAATAGACTATAAACTATATATGGAAACACGAAATTATTTATCTTACCCGATTATATATACAAGCACTCCCAGCTGGAATAAGCGGAACAACACGCCGACTTTTTTATTATTGGCGATGACATACTTCTCCGTTTTGTAGTCAAACACCGAGAGGAAGACACTCTTGCAGCCTCCTCTAGCCATGATCTTCTGGGAAGGTAGACAGGTTACGAGAAGCGCACCGGCACCGGCGGGAGGAGAGCAGCGGTGTTAATGTTACTGCCATTTACGCAACTATACTGAAAAGGGAGTATAAAAATAAACCACCAGTTACCCGACACTGAGCTAGGTGCGCTGCGTCTATGTCAACAGCTGCCTTTGACTTTGCGCAGCAGTAATCTTTCCGTTAACATTCCCACACACGGTGTGCGTCCTCCTGTGTGTATTTCTGGCATGTTTATATCTATCTTCTGTCCAACATCAATACACAGCTAGGTGTCATTGTAAAGTCAAAGCGAGTCATATTAAACAGGTCACCTTTACAAACACACTGTTCCTAACAAAAGAGTCTATGACTCCAGATAATATTATAAAATCTGTCAAAAACAGCCTTGTTCCAGGTCCATGACTTCAAAACCCAGTCAAAACAAGTTTAAGGTCACCTGTAAAAAAATAGCATCCATCCATCTTCCAAACGCTTGAGTCATGGGGGAGGTAAACGCAGCAATTACAAACTGGACACCATGTGTGGTGGGCTGGTCACTTTGTGGGTAGCACTCTGGCATTGATACATTCCTGCACTGATTGTGGGTAGGCTTACAATACAAGCAAAATTAAAGAGAAAATAAAGATATTAAATGTTTCTACTTAGATCTCTGTGTTTGTGTTGGTTTTATGCAAGACGTTTCATTCATTACGGTGATTATTTGTTTCTGTAAATTGTACTGGCATCCCATCCAAGGTGCAGGCTGTATAGGCCAGGCTCTGAGCTTTCTGTGGCCCTAACTGCATTTACTGTTTATCGAAAATACGTGTTAGTTACTCATGTATTTCAGACCTAAAATTATCTCAGCTTGAAGTAGTAGCCTACTGTGCGGTATAAACGATAACGATATACGATATAAATTTGGCCAACGGGAGAGATTTTGATTATACCGCCCTACCGTAGAAATTTCCCCTCCTCGCCCGCAAAAGTGACGTAATCAAGTTACGTCAAAGTATATGATTTATATAAAAAAATATTTATATGATTATTGCTGCACCTGGCAGCAGAGTCCTGCACGGGTCTGATTTTGACAAACGGCACCCGCCCGAACCCGTCATACTTAAACCCGTATCCGAACCGTTATCCGGCAGAAATAAAATTAAATTCCGCACCCGATCCGACCCACTATAAATAAATACCGACACCCGACCCGCACCCGAATGAAAATCAGATAGCCAAAATTAAAGACAAAAGTTTATTGCCACAACAAACCACAAAGGCATAGCCAAATGAAAACGTTGCTTAATAACAGCCTAATAATAAGCAAAAGAAACGGTAGTACCCTACCTCCAAACTCAAATAATGTTTGATATATTGCCATGCCCACACATAGCCTTACCAGCTTACAATCAAATGTGTTAATAAAACTAATATTATATAAAATGTACATTAGGCTACCCTAATCCATTTTCCTTTGATTACCCGATTGGAAATCCTATACGCGAAGTCATAGACTAGTGTTTGGTGCGGTGCTTTATATTACTGTGTAAAAAAAGGATGGTCTCAGCTGACTCCTTCGCTCCTGGATGACATTTCCGGCGCATGAGAAATCTCACTCACTTGGGGCGCTGGATGCCGGGGTGGCAAGAGTAGATCTCGCAATATGAGAAATATTGGTAAACAAACGATCATGCTCTCTCCACCAAGACAAGACGTCAAACGAGTTGTTTTCCGAAATTCTCCCACACTTGATTTTAGTGGAGTTATTGGCCACAACTTTAAACTCTACACTTGCTAGTTTTCTTTTCAACTCCTCAGCATCCATTTCGAACAACTGGGATCTCTGGGAATGCGCGTGCAGGCATAAACTGATATGGATTCTACGCTTTATCATCTTGAATGCAGGGATTTTCTGTGTGTCACTAAAATATAGCCCTAGCAGGTGCGTTGCTAGAGATTTTGGGCCCCATGAAAGCATATCATATTAGGCCCCCCAGTCCAAACCAATCCAGTTATTTTCCTAATTTTTTAGGGCCCCTGTCACTCAGGGGCCCTTGGAATCGTCCTAGCTTTCCTCCCCCTTACGGCGCCCCTGAGCCCTAGGGTATTTTTTGTTGGCACATGATGTTTTGAAAACCGCAATTTAGACCCGAACCCGTATCCGACACAGTAGAATATTTTTCACCCATTTCATCAAAATTTGCGGGTCACCCGTCGGCTACACGAACCCGTGCAGGACGCTGCCTGGCAGGACCTTTATGGGAGAGATGGTCATATGGAGTTATGACACTAGTCTAATTGTTTTAGTTTCGTAGCTTATACTACAGTTTGTGACAAGATTATGCCAGGCTGCAAGGGACTATGATTTCGGGGCTGATAATGACAACCAGATCAGAGACGCAATTCTCAGTAAATGCACGTCGGACTATGTCAGGAGAAAGTTACTGAAAGAGCCGGGACTGACTTTAGCGCGCACCCTTGATTTAGCAGCGCAGTGTGAGAGGGTAGAGATGCAGACGGCGGCGATGCAGGCAAGCGCCCCTGCTCCTACTGATGCTGGTTCGGTCAACCGTATTGTTGGGAATGAAAAGAAAGGGCAACAAAGAGCACATAAAATGTGCAGAGAGGAAAAAGATAGACCAGACAAAGCGTGTTTTCGTTGTGGACATAAAGACCACTTTGCTAAAGATCCAGCCTGCCCAGCCAGAGGCCAACAATGCAGAAAATGAAGTGGAAAGAACCATTTTGCGAAAATGTGTAAAACAAAAGAAAAGGTTAAAGAGACTGTGCCTATAGTGGAATCAGGTCCTCTGGGCAGTGATTATGCTTTTACAGTAGGAGACAATGCAAATACAGAGAGGATAACTTTCAACGTTGGAGGAGTCAAGAGAACGAGAGCCAGAGAACACGTCAGAAGTCCGTAGCTTTTTGGGGCTGGCTATAGCAGCTGATTCATTCCCCAGTTTGCAAGCATATCCAAACCTCTGCGGAAAGTAACCAAAAAGGATACAATTTTTGAATTTGGACCTGATCAGAAGAGAGCGTTCCAGATGCTGAAGGACAAACTGGCAGAGGCAAGTACACTTGCATATTTTGACAAGGATGCCCCCACGAAAGTAATTGCAGATGCAGGGCCAGTGGGCCTAGGAACAGTGCTTGTGTAGGAATAATGCAGGGAAATGGTCCCTATATGCTATGTGAGTAGAAGCCTGACTGAGTGCGAGTGGATATACTCACAAACTGAGAAGGAAGGGCTAGCTCTTTTTTCGGCTTGAAGAAGACTCCATCCATATATATATGGTAAACGATTTGATTTAGTAACCGATCCCAAGGCCCTAGAGACCATATACAACCCCGTCTCAAAACCATGTGCCCATATAGAGTGATGGGTGCTGAGGTTGCAGCCGTATGACTTTTGAGTTGTTCATATCCCAGGGAAGGACAACATTGCCGACCCAGTGTCTAGGCTACTGGGGAAACAGAGGACACAAGGGGAGTACGCCCATGGCGCAGAGGACTATGTACGATTCATAGCCATGAACGCAACCCCAAGGGCCATGACCAGCAAGGAGGTGGAGGAGGCCTCTGCAGTCGACAAGGAACTTGGATAGGTAAGACAGGCAATCTGGAGTGGCTGCTATGATAAGTGCCAGGCATATGCACCAAAAGCCAATGAACTCTGCACGGTGGGTCAATTGGTACTGAGGGGGACATGGCTTGTGTTACCCTATAAACTGTGAGCTAGAGCCCTTGCCTTGGCTCACAAGGGACATTTAGGCATTGTGGGCACCAAACAGCATCTTAGGACTAAGACGTGGTGGCTGGAAATGGACCAAGTGGCAGAGAAACATGTAAAGTCTTGTCATGCATGTCAAATAGTGGCAAGACCCGATGTGCCCAAGCCCTTAAGGCCAACACAATTACCAGAAGGACCGTGGCAGGACCTGGCCACTGATCTGCTGGGGCCCTTGCCATCAGGACACTCAATATTAGTAGTAGTGGATTACTACAGCAGGTTCTATAAATATGCCATCCTGCAATCAACCACAACAGACAAGGTAATTGACTGCATGGAAGAGATATTCAGTCGACACAGCCTTACAATTACACCCAGATCCGACTGTGGCCCGCAGTTTTTGTCATCCCAGTTCCAGGATTTCTGTCAATCAAACGGAATAAGACATGTAAAAACAACACCGAAATGGGCCCAGGCCAACGGAGAGGTGGAAAGACAAAATGAGAATGATGAAAAGAATACGCATCACGCAGGCTGAAGGCCTTGACTGGAAGAGTTACGAAGCTATGTGACTGTTTACAGGTCACTCCACCACAGACCACAGCCCAGCTGAGCTGCTCTTCAAGAGGAAAATGAGAGGGAAACTCCCGGACCTAAGCACTCCACAGAATGACCTAGAGGCAGATATGGAGATATGGAGGCAGAACTAAAAAAGAAGTACAAGATAGCTGCTGATATCAGGAGGAGAGCGGCGGAGTCACCAGTGTCTGTGGGGGACCAGGTTCTCCTGAGACAGGACAAGACACACAAGCTCTCGACGACGTCTAACAAGACGCCACACAGAGTCCTGAGCAAAGTCGGAAACAGCGTTGTCGTCCAATCTCCAACAGGAGCCATGTACACTAGAAATATTACATTTGTGAAGAAGAACAAGAACAATCAAGAAGAAGACCCAACACCGCAGTCAACAAACACGATGCAAATGGCATGGACTGAGGAAGAACAGAAGAGAAATGAACCCACCCCAATGGGCTTGCCTGAGACACCACAGGCAAAAAACCTGATGCAAAAGAGGGACAGACCCCAACGGAAGATCAAGCTACCACCAAAACTGTTTGATTATGTCATAAAATGATTGACGGCAGGTAGTTACATGGGAAAGTAATGTTAAGGTTAAAATTAATGTCATGTAAAAGAAAAAAAAGGGAAATGTTGAAAAGGAAAATGTTTTTTTGTCAACCAGTGCCTGTTCAATTTAAGAGTTATATATATATATGCCATTTAAGAGATGTATAGTAGATGTATAAAAGTGATATTCCCTTTGTACAGGGTTCATACACATTTTTACCAAAAAATTTCCATGACTTTTCATGACTTTTCAATGACTCTGAGGCAAGTTTCCATGACC